CCTATAGCAACGCCCTGGCAACAACTCAGAACACCCTATAGCAACGCCCTTCTAAATGGGTTTTTATGTCAATGGTCACTTTGTTCCAGGATGAATCTGATTGTTTTGCACACATGAACTTTCAGATCTGTTGATTTTCTTTGCTTAACAGGATATCAGTACTTCTCTGAGCTGTTGCAGGAAGTGATGTCACACACCTTATAGCAACGCCCTTCTAAATGGGTTTTTATGTCAATGGTCACTTTGTTCCAGGATGAATCTGATTGTTTTGCACACATGAACTTTCAGATCTGTTGATTTTCTTTGCTTAACAGGATATCAGTACTTCTCTGAGCTGTTGCAGGAAGTGATGTCACAGAATAGCATCTTTTATTTAGCTTTTTTGCTCTTTAAGTTTGACTTATTCTCTTGAACTCTTTTGAATACGTTACCTGTAAGTTCTTTCTGAAACATTTCATCTGGATGTATTGCAGACCTGGACACCCTTATATATTTGTTGTTTGTTCTTTTTAAAATGCTGGAGAAAATAATGAATGTCAAACAGCCAAAGTGTTTATAAGCCGATTATCAGACGTGAAGCATCTTTCTGTTTGTCTGTTCTGTGTATTTCTATTACAGAAATATGAAAACTGCATAAACAGTGCTGAAAGTTAAAACAGAAAAGCTGTGTTTTTGCTTACGCTTGTGGTTTTATTTTCGTCGGTTTCGTTGATGAGCTGTTCCTGGTGTGCGAGAACATTGTTGCGTTTGTTCCAGACGTGTAATTAAAGCAGGAGTGAACTATGAATAATTAATGTTTCTTTAAGCAAATTAACTGAAGGTTTTTCTTTGAAAGCCATTACTCGACTATGCAGGAGAACAAACACAGCGTCACGCCATCCTTCAGGTGCTGAACACTGAAACCACCAGCATTGTGTCTAAATGGGTTTTTATGTCAATGGTCACTTTGTTCCAGGATGAATCTGATTGTTTTGCACACATGAACTTTCAGATCTGTTGATTTTCTTTGCTTAACAGGATATCAGAACTTCTCTGAGCTGTTGCAGGAAGTGATGTCACAGAATAGCATCTTTTATTTAGCTTTTTTGCTCTTTAAGTTTGACTTATTCTCTTGAACTCTTTTGAATACGTTACCTGTAAGTTCTTTCTGAAACATTTCATCTGGATGTATTGCAGACCTGGACACTTATATATTTGTTGTTTGTTCTTTTTAAAATGCTGGAGAAAATAATGAATGTCAAACAGCCAAAGTGTTTTGTAAGCCGATTATCAGACGTGAAGCATCTTTCTGTTTGTCTGTTCTGTGTATTTCTATTACAGAAATATGAAAACTGCATAAACAGTGCTGAAAGTTAAAACAGAAAAGCTGTGTTTTTGCTTACGCTTGTGGTTTTATTTTCGTCGGTTTCGTTGATGAGCTGTTCCTGGTGTGCGAGAACATTGTTGCGTTTGTTCCAGACGTGTAATTAAAGCAGGAGTGAACTATGAATAATTAATGTTTCTTTAAGCAAATTAACTGAAGGTTTTTCTTTGAAAGCCATTACTCGACTATGCAGGAGAACAAACACAGCGTCACGCCATCCTTCAGGTGCTGAACACTGAAACCACCAGCATTGTGTAAGTTTTCTCTGTAGTCGCTTCTTCCTTGTGCTTTACAGTAAACTGTTTCTCCATGTGATTGTGAAAGGATTTCATTGATTGAACATTTCAGATTTGAGTGAGTGGTTAATCATCAGTAGTACTAGTTCTGATCGTGATGTGCTGAAACCTCTAGCACTTGATCAGATGCACCATCTTCACCTGCTGGAGCATAAAACAGGTGAAGGAATCCCACAGGTAGTTTTAGAAATGCTAAAAACAGAAACCGTAACAACTGCATGGCAATGTGTCAAAAGTCACTCTCAAAACCCTAGCAACAGTAAAGCAGTACCCTGGCAACATCTCAAAACCCAAGCAACCCTATAGAAATGCTCTGGCAACAACTAGGAAAAACCCATGTAGCCCTTTAGAAATGCCCTAGCAACCCTATAGCAACCACCTGGAAATCCAATAGCAATGCCCTGGCAACACCTCAAAACACCCTAGCAATGCCCTGGCAACAACTCAAAACACCCTATAACAACCCCCCTCCAACACCTAAAAGCACCCTAGCAACACCCTGGCAACAACTCAAAACACCCTATAACAACCCCCCTCCAACACCTAAAAGCACCCTAGCAACACCCTGGCAACAACTCAAAACACCCTATAACAACCCCCCTCCAACACCTAAAAGCACCCTAGCAACACCCTGGCAACAACTCAAAACACCCTAGCAACGCCCTGGCAACACCTCAAAACGCCCTGGCGACACCTCCAAACACCCTGGCAACAACTCAAAACACCCTGGCAACGCCCTGGCAACACCTCAAAACACCCTAGCAACGCCCTGGCAACACCTTAAAACGCCCTGGCAACAACTCAAAACACCTTAGAAATGCCCTGACAACAACTCTCAACACTCTATAGCAATGCCCTGGCAACAAATCAAAACACTTTAGCAACGCCCTGGCAACAACTCAAAACACCATAGCAACACCTCAAAACATCTTAGAAATCCCCTGACAACAACTTACAACACCCTATAGCAACAACTATAACACCCTATAACAACCCCCCGGCAACAACTCGAAACACCCTAGCAATCCCGTAACAACACCCTGGCAACCATCCACAACACTTTAATATCAGTTGTGAGTTTTAGGTAAGGCAAGTTTATTTGGCATGTTTCATACACAATAGTAATTCAAAGTGCTTTATAGTAAGAATATTCATAAGAAATGCATAAAAACATTTAAAAAGTAAAGAATTATTAAAAGTGTATTCGGAGTCGGAGTCCACAGACACCGCTGCATTTGTGTGAATGTGCTGCATGTAGTTCCTGGTGCGTTGTGGACCTGCAGCTCTGAGTCAGTCGGGCTGATGTGAGGAACGCTGGAGGCTCAGGCTATTTCTAGAGCTGCATTGCGTAGATGTTTCTCTGCTCCGCTGGCATGGAGAGGAGCGCGTGTCACTCTGAAGACACACGCCGGTTTTAGAAGCATCAGGGTCACTTCTGAAGCCACTCTGACCTACGGGTCAAAGGTCATGCAGGGGAGACACAAACCAGCAGAGCAAACGTTCCCACTAAGTTACAAACACATTGTCTGAATGTTGAAAATGTCCAGTTTTTTAAAATGTTTAAAAATTATATATTTTTTGTGCTTATGCAAATGAAAAAAGACGAACATCGAAGTATCCAGCTAACAAAATGTTCAAGGAAAGTTGATCTAATGTCCGCCTTAAAGTTATAGAAATGTTATTTCTGAATGTTGTCTGAACTTTCTAAACGTCCGTTTGAATGTTCTCCGAACGCCCTGAAACAAGAAGTAACATTTAAAAAACGTTTGATGAACAAACATCCTATTAATGTCACTGGAAGAGCGTTCCCTGTTAGCGGAGAGAACGGCGTTTGTGATATGAAAACAACATTTATAAAGATGAGATGAAATCTTTAAGTTGATGTCCTCACGAAAGCCTTCCTCTCTTATGAACATCCTCTTCGTTTCTTTGTCATCGTGTCAAAAGTCTGTTAAAGCTGAAGTGTCTGACCGGAGCAGATTTCCGATAGTCACACCGGCATCTTCATTTTTACAGCGTTTCAGAGTTGGAGTTGATTTCTGTTCTTCAGTGTGTCTTCACGTCCACAGGCAGAGACCGCAGGATTAGCTCCAGAGCTGCTCTGGTGTTTGTGTTTCTGACGGATGCTGTTTATTTGTGTCTGATTGGAAGTCGAGGAGGCACTAAAGAGTTCCATAATCCTCCTTTTATTCCAGAGGTTCTTCCTCGGTCGGCCCTCCGCTCTCAAACGCTGATAAGTCACCCGAATCTTACGCTCCTGTTATTCCTCTGGAAACACGCAGGACGCCGCTCATCGTTGTCTGAGGATATTCCTCCAACACAATCAGCCGTTTGCACCGTTCTCAAACAAGCTCTTCAAAAGAGCTTTTGCCCATTGATGAACCGTTTCTTACTGCGTCAGATTAGTTTGAGTTTTTGCCGTTTTAACAGGTTAGTTCATCCAAAAGTCAAAATAAGGATTTACATCGTGGTCTGTTCCTCACTAAATTATCATGAGTGTTATAAACGACTTTTCTGTTGCTTTTCTGTCCTTTTCAAGCCTGACTGCCCATTTGCTTTTGTTGTACAGAAAAGTGCAGTTCAGGTGAAATACAGGCTTAAAACAACTGACCGTTCTAAACATCGTGTTTGTGAATGTTCAGGTTATTTTTAAACTTTTTATTATTTTTTTTGGTCATGCAAACATTAAGGAAACATTCCCTTCCATTGAATGTTCTCTAACCATTGTAACATTTAACATTAATAAACACAGTGTTCTTCCACCAAACAATGTAGCTCCTCAGAAACAGTTGTGGTTGCTACAAAGTGGTTGCCGAGCAACACACAAACGTAAACAAAGGTGTGTGTTACTTTGTAGCGTCATTTACAACAGCTTCGAACAAGCACCGGAACTCTCCACTTTATAAATTCAATTTTATCATCATTTTGCAAACATTATCGAAACTTTACATTTGAATGTTCTATTAATATTTTGAAACTAGTAATAATTTAAAAAAAAAAAAACCATTAGATGAATGTCTAATATTCCAGCTAATAAAAATGTTTTTTATAATGTTAATTATAATGTTATTTGTTATAGAATATAACATTATAATGTTATAGAATGTTCAAACTGTGTATAGATTTGTAAATGTTTTTATTGATTTATTATTTATTTTTTGTGGTTATGTGAACAATGAAGAAACATTCCATTTTAGGCATTTTGCGAATGCTACTTTTGATTGTTCTCTGAACATTCCGAAACAAGTAGCAAAGCCAATCAGAGTCAAGCACCGGAACTCTCCACTTTATAAATTCAATTTTATCATCATTTTGCAAACATTATCGAAACTTTACGTTTGAATGTTCTATTAATATTTTGAAAGTAGTAATAATTTTTTTTTTTTAAACATTAGATGAATGTCTAATACATAGAATATAACATTATAATGTTATAGAATGTTCAAACTGTGTATAGATTTGTAAATGTTTTTATTGATTTATTATTTATTTTTTGTGGTTATGTGAACAATGAAGAAACATTCCATTTTAGGCATTTTGCGAATGCTACTTTTGATTGTTCTCTGAACATTCCGAAACAAGTAGCAACATTCGAAAAATTCTAGAAGAATGGCCAACTAAAATGTTCTGAAACATTATATCAATGATGATCGAAGAACGTTTCACTGTTGAGTTCTAGAAACATTATTTCTGAATGCTCAAAAACATTTTTAAAAATATAAACTACTTTGATGTTTCTTTTCTGTCCTTTTTGAGCTTTTCTGCTTTTGTTGTACAGCTCAGTGCAGCTCAGATGAAATACAGGTTTTTAAAACAACATATTTTGAGAAAACCATTGTGACACCAATGCTGATTTCATCTAATTGACATCTGGCACAGAATCAACACACATCTAAGCCGTCTTTCCCGAGCGTTGTCTGGAAGTGTCCATTAGATACCACAAATCCATCTTGATGTTCACTCAAAACCACCTTACGTGCAGCAGATGCATTTCAGCTCTTTATTTGTGTCGGAGCTTGCCCGCAGCACTGAGGTTCTCTGAAAAGAGCTGCTGGGCAGCAGTGTGAACAGAGAAGTGCGTGTTTGAACGGATATATTTTATCATTGCCGTACAGCTGGTGGCTGCGGAGAGAAAGAGGAAGATGTGCTCTGGTTCTGACGGTTCGTCTAAACCGCAGTGAATCATCACGTCAGCTTTGGTCATGCAAACATTAAGGAAACATTCCCTTCCATTGAATGTTCTCTAACCATTGTAACATTTAACATTAATAAACACAGTGTTCTTCCACCAAACAATGTAGCTCCTCAGAAACAGTTGTGGTTGCTACAAAGTGGTTGCCGAGCAACACACAAACGTAAACAAAGGTGTGTGTTACTTTGTAGCGTCATTTACAACAGCTTCGAACAAGCACCGGAACTCTCCACTTTATAAATTCAATTTTATCATCATTTTGCAAACATTATCGAAACTTTACATTTGAATGTTCTATTAATATTTTGAAACTAGTAATAATTTAAAAAAAAAAAAACCATTAGATGAATGTCTAATATTCCAGCTAATAAAAATGTTTTTTATAATGTTAATTATAATGTTATTTGTTATAGAATATAACATTATAATGTTATAGAATGTTCAAACTGTGTATAGATTTGTAAATGTTTTTATTGATTTATTATTTATTTTTTGTGGTTATGTGAACAATGAAGAAACATTCCATTTTAGGCATTTTGCGAATGCTACTTTTGATTGTTCTCTGAACATTCCGAAACAAGTAGCAACATTCGAAAAATTCTAGAAGAATGGCCAACTAAAATGTTCTGAAACATTATATCAATGATGATCGAAGAACGTTTCACTGTTGAGTTCTAGAAACATTATTTCTGAATGCTCAAAAACATTTTTTAAAATATAAACTACTTTGATGTTTATTTTCTGTCCTTTTTGAGCTTTTCTGCTTTTGTTGTACAGCTCAGTGCAGCTCAGATGAAATACAGGTTTTTAAAACAACATATTTTGAGAAAACCATTGTGACACCAATGCTGATTTCATCTAATTGACATCTGGCACAGAATCAACACACATCTAAGCCGTCTTTCCCGAGCGTTGTCTGGAAGTGTCCATTAGATACCACAAATCCATCTTGATGTTCACTCAAAACCACCTTACGTGCAGCAGATGCATTTCAGCTCTTTATTTGTGTCGGAGCTTGCCCGCAGCACTGAGGTTCTCTGACAAGAGCTGCTGGGCAGCAGTGTGAACAGAGAAGTGCGTGTTTGAACGGATATATGTTATCATTGCCGTACAGCTGGTGGCTGCGGAGAGAAAGAGGAAGATGTGCTCTGGTTCTGACGGTTCGTCTAAACCGCAGTGAATCATCACGTCAGCTTCCTCCTGTGGACCACGGCTCCAGTGTGAACAACCCATGCACTTCTGATGCAGGTCAATGCTGCTTCACCTCAGATCTCCATCCCGGACCGGTTTAGCCCTATACGCATGTTTTTCTTTCAGAAATACTCATATTTCAATTTGTTTTAAAGCACTATAGTATTAAAGGGATAGTTCACCCACAAATGAACATTTATGTTTATCTGCTTA